ATTCACGCACTTTACTTATACCGCGCTTGACTCAATTGTCCGTCTCTATCTCTGCCTGTCTGCAATTCAATTACCTATCCATATATGCTGTCATTTCTCGCCGGTCTTATATATACGAAATAGAGGGCGTCTGGTAAACACTCGAGCCTTCACGAACGTTCTAGATACTCATTAGGTGTTACCAGCGTCACGTGAATTCCGCTGTCGTAACATTATATATAGGCTCTTGGTAGCTGTGCAGCCACAGATTATCCACCAAGTTGAGTCAGTTGAAGTTAGATCTGAGCAGAATAGAAGGTCTTAACTTCCACTACTGTTTCTCCATCATCAAGTTTATGTACTACATGACTTTAGTATATATAAATTTACCTTTTCTTAAACATAGCCCATTGTGTAGTTTTGTGCTTAATTACAAACAATACTATTAGTAAAATCAAAATGATTCCCTAAATTTTTACTCCATCTCTAAATTTATCTTTAAAATATTGTTAATTCAAATTATTAATTATATCTACTCAAATATTTATATAATCTGATATTATTGTTTACAATACTTACCGTAATTTATTACCATTATTTTTAAGGTGTGTTAAAATTATATTTTACTATTCGATCATTATCGTAACTGATTGTTTCAAATTTACGTTAAAAAACTAAAATTACTTGCTAGAGGGCTCTTTCATTACTCGTCACCGACCTAAATGTTGACCTTCGGAAGTGTGGAGTATCGTGTTACGTAGTTATTTGCCACATGTGTTTAACATTGTTTTAAATTGAACTAAAAAGGTTGAATTTATCACGTTGATTTAGAATTTAAAATGTCTGATAAAGAACCAAGGAAACGAAGGAAAAAGAAGGAACTCCATAAAAAAGGTAAGTGAGCTGAAATTTTACTTTGCATGAGACCTGATTAGGTTTATACTAATAGTATTATTTATAATGATAGTTGAAAATTCTGAACTATTGACTCAGTTGAGTTGTCAACAGAAATTGTTCTGCTATTACTATTAGTATTACTAACTCTGTTAAAAAATGAAGCTATTACAATTTAATTTAATTTTAAGAGTTAACGCAACTTGTTAGGCTGTATTGGAACAAGTTTAAACCTTAAAGTTAAACTAAAAGACTTGGGTGTACCATTGCAAAACGGTTTTGAAGTTGTACCAAGTTTAACTTGTACTAAGTTATTGTTATACACTTAAGCTAAGTGAAGTTTTCCAATTTATTAAAGTAATATGAATTACACATATTTAATTGCAATTATAAATTCCACAATGTGCAATGCAAAAAAAGGAACCATGCCAGTGTTTTATTTTTAATTTTAAGGAGCTGAAACTTTATAAGTGTAGTGAGTGATGGTATAAGTCTAAAGTAAAGATGTAGTATGGGATTACCTAACCTAGAGCCAAGTGCGTAACATTTATTATGAAAGTAAAAATACTGATTCAATTTTAAACTTTAATCGTTTCTGAATTGAGCTGTTTTCTGTTATATCACAAACATTTGTAACAAAAAGCAAACCCCCTTTTATCAGTGGAGACTCTAAATTAAGAAATCATGAAATATTTTTCCTGTTGTCTGTACATTTAATTTTATACTTTCAGTACATAGACTAACAACAATATTGGGTTATAATTTTGTTGCTAAGCAATATGACATAATAGCCATTGTTGTAATGTAATGTTACCAAAATGCACTGACTTTTCTATATATTAGAGGTTGTTAATCTAACAGATTTTTACCAGTAATTATTCTATAAATATGCCACAAATTCATTTTATGAATGATCTTAATTTTGATTTGCTTACAAAAGAATTTACCAATGTTTGACTCTTTGACTGCACTTATCTGCCTCTTTGTTGGTGAAACTTGATTTTGCAAAATTTATTCCTTTCAGTTAGCTATGAAATGTGAGGTTAGGGTATACTATGGGGTGGTGGTGGTAGTACATGCCCCATAATTTTTTACAAGCTATACACTAGTGTAAGCATATTCTACATTATGCTAACATTGCTTTTTTCATACATAAAACATGTGGACAGCATACTTTCAATTCCATAGAGCCATACTCACAATAAAAATTAATGAAGATTAAAATTATAACTAATATAAGGACATTACAGAGTAGGGACACCGTGTTCAAAACATGAGAGAGTAATAGCTTTAAAACAACCCAATTCACTGTTTCATATCTATAAATATATCAGTTGTTTCTATGTTTTTCAGTAAATTAGATTAATTTAGAACTACTATTTCTCTAAAAGTTTTACTAAAATATGTTTTTGATGTTTTTCCCACTACTTATTGAGACTGGTAGTTACAGTAGCAACATTCATAATCTCTTTTTTTTTGTCATAGAAATACTGGCTGCTTTCTTGATTTCTATCAATGAGTTTAATATTTGACATAAGCTATCCATTTCCATTTATTAATAATTTATCTTCCCTATCCATCCACTAAGAAATGGACATTTGAATGGAATGCATAACGTTGGTAGGTATATATACATATTCCTTTTCAATTTGCTTGAATGAAGAAACAAAAAATTCTAAGCTTCATCAACATTAAGATAAATTGCCCAATCTCTCTCTTAAAATATATTGAAATTTCTAGAGATAAAGCTTTTTCAAAACAGGACAGAGCTCATATTAACAAACTATAATTAGATTATTCTCTTTTTCCACAACAGTAACAAAATGCCTTAATAGAGATGTGTATATAGTTTTAAAGTGAAAGCAGCGTTAGAGTGCTTGACAGTTTCAGCCACATACTTCAGTATAGTTATGGGTCTCACTAATTAACGACAAGAAAGATAAAGACATTTATTTTAGTTCTTCTCTTCTTCAGGTGCATCATTTAACATTTGTTTGCATTGATACTCATCTTGTAAATTCTGGCACACTTATAAAACTAAGTTTCTTTGAAAAAGAAAAATACAGTACACTAAAAAATATATGCCTAACTCATAATCGATATTATAGTTGTTGAATATGCAATATTACTATCCTAAAGGCTATGTGATTGTATACATTTATATAATTAAAGAACAACAAAGACTCCAAAACAGCAACACAGATGCTTCCTCTTGTCATACTCTGAATCAGAAATGCTCACTTATTATTATCCATTGCTTCCTAACATCAGTCATATTTTTGTCTAAATTTTAAATGTCACATTCCATTTTTTATGCACCCAGTTCACAAATTGATGTATTATGACTCAATTGTAAATTTATAAATTCCATAACTTTTTTTTCAGGCAAGCACAACTTTGCTGAGAACTGTTACAAAGGCTTTATTTGATTGGACTTGCATGCTAGAGAAGTTTATCACTGGTCAAAGCACAAGCTCTCAACCCTCTTGTTATGGTGTTCTGTCTCAACAAATTTGTCAGTATACTCAAAAGATAGCATGGCATTATCCCTGTTTCTGAAACTAATGACCACATGGAGACAACCAGCCAATAGAAAAAATAATTTTTACATAATAATTATATTTCTTAGCACCGAGTACTGTGGCTCAGTGGCTTTGCACTTTGGACTTGTAGTTACATGGTTGCGAGTTTGACACTGGTTGGTGTCATGCTGTTATGTCCTTGAGCAAGATACTTTATCTCAATTGTTTCAGTTGATGGGTGCCAACTGTTAACTGGTGGTTAACCTGCAATACACTGGTATCATGTCCAGGAAATAATGTTTCATCATTCTCATCTGCTTGTGCCATCTGAGCGGGGGAGAAATTTGAACTTGATCTTGCCCCATTCTTAACAAGATAGTTTTAATACTATTACTTCTACTACTCTTATATGCTTGAAGAGTTAAACATCAGTCTTGACACAGATGTTTCTTTCTCCAATAATTTTTTTAAGGTTCTTGTAATGATGCCCAATTAAATTTTAGTTAAGTAGCATCTGTCCTTTCTACTTTTAAAATGGCAAAATAAATTTTCTAACACAAAATTCTTACCATTTCTGATTGGCATGATATCTTATACATTAAATATTTAAGATTTACTAATTGTTTAGTATGTCTATAGTAATTATTGTTCTGGAAGAATAAAGATGCAAATTGTAGACGTATCTGTACTGCTAGTCCTAATGTTGCCACTTTAGGCCTACATATAGAGCTCTGTATCTACAATTACAACAGACAGCTCAAGGAATCTCTTTGATCTGCATAACACCTTCCCTCCTTCCAGGAGATACAAGGTTAAATATGCTGTTCCTTTAAAGCCTTTATGTTTGCAAATAAGGCATCAGATAGACTGATTTTAAGTGACCTATGCATACGCAATTAAGTAGGTGCTAAATAACATTGGTTGATTGGTGGAAACAAGGTAGTTGGAGTTGGTTGATCATGCACCCATCCATCAAAAATGTAAGGTTATTATTATTATAGCAATGGTTTCAAAGGCTTGGTATTGTTGGGTCTCAAAGACTGTCTCCCTGAAATCAATTTCACGAACTTGAGTTGTTTGTAATAATAAGCCTGGAAACCTAAAACCATGACATCTGAACTAACTGTGGAAGAATATTATGAATTACCTTTTCCAGACTAACAACATTTATAAGGAAGTTACAAAGTTAATGTTATGATTAACATCAATTATTTTAAATGTAGGTTGATGAAAACACCAATTGGTTATAATGTTAATCACACTTATGATAATTAATTTTAACTTAATTCTGCATAACTTTGAATGTTACATATACATGAAATTAACTTTAATGAATGCATAAATTAAGTACTCTTTAGTACTCTATACCTATTAAATAGCCTGTAACACTGTATTTCAAAGAAATTTCTGTCATCAAAATCATCTATGTTTAACCATGTTACAGTTATTCCCATTATATCAAGATCCTCCTTTCCTACCAGTGTTCTAAAGTCATCTATTTTATATCTTATACTTTTAGCATTACAATAGTAACAATTAAGCCTATACTTATAACTACTTCTATACTCATTTCCTATGCTAAACTTTTCTCTGCCTCTTATTTTTTCTGCAATTTTTTTATCCTGGCCTTCACCACTGTCTAAAGAAATATATAGTTAAAAACATACAAGTCACAAAGATATCAAAATAAAAGTATCGGTTGAATAGTTGCCAAGTTGTTAGTTTTTATTTAAAGAAGGATGACGTTTGAGCTAGTGCTCTTTGTCAGATTGTACAGCTGTATGACCTGATGATGAGTGCTAGCTTTAAACATCATCCTTCTTTAAATAAAAATGTAACAAAAACTTGGAAATTGTTCATCCTATTCTTTTACTTCACCTATGTCTATTCATAGTTTAAAACTTTCCTTACAGCAGAGTTAGCAGCTTTTGCAAACAAACCAGCCCTTACCCTATTTAATTCTAAACTGTTCATTCGACAAGGTACCTCACTTCTGCTCAAATACATAGCTATTCTTAATTAGTGCTGCCCTCTATTAGTAAACAAATGCTTGCATGCCACAGGCCTTTCACTCCCTAACTGATTCTCACATGTAAATTATCATGCACAAACCTCCAGCAATAGTAGTACCACACACCTATGTGATTGCTATTCTACCTAACTATCATTTCTCATTTGGCAGTGCTCATGTTCAAACATTTAGTTTGTGCTCTCTTAAGTTTTTTGTTTGTATCTTTGTCTCAATTTTACTCGCCAAATTTACTATTTATTATACAATAGTGATACTTGTAACTTATTCCGAAGTGGAATTATTTTATATTTGTACCCAGTTACGGAATTTAAATGGATTCAATCTCCTTGCTATTATCTCTGATATTCTCAACTTCAGCCTTCAAACTATGATTTACCTGTAGTTCATCCTACTAGTAAATCAATAA